TGAGCCACATATTGTACGATCCTGTTTATATGAAGTATCTGGAATATGCAAATCTATACAGAAAGACAGTAGATTAGCGGTTGTCTAGGGCTGGGGGAAGGGGAAATGGGGTGACTGCTAATGGGTAGGGGGATTCTTTTAGGGGTGATGAAAACATTCTGGAATTGATTATGGTGATGGATACACAACTCTGTGAATATACTAAAAGTCATCATACACTTTGAGTGAATTTTAAGTCAAATTCGATTACAAAACTGTTAGAAAAGAAAGAAGAAGAAATTTCCAGGTGCCAGAAGGAAAGGGTGGGGGTGGGGAGAGCCATCCGTTTTACATGTTGTGGGAGCCTTCCTTCCTCCTACTCCAGTTCAAATACGTAAAACCTTGGATTATGAGCCTGTTCTGCCAGTGTTCCACAAGACAAGCAAACATTTTAATTTGATAAACGAGCGATGTCTTGTGGAACGCATCTTACGTGATGCCGAATGTCACAGGATAACCACTGAGCCAGTGGTTCTTGAAATTCATTTTGATAGATGACTGTTTCAGATTACCTGTTTCTGGAACAAATTATGCTCCCAAACCAAGGCTTTACTGTGTATTAAACTCAGCCTCAGATTACTGTTCTGCTATATCATATAATTGGGGGTGTTAATCCTGTATCTTGTTTATCTCTTTGCTTTTACCTGAGAACACTGTTCCTTGGTGTATTGTTATTTTTTATTGTATACTCATTTTCAGTGAAGATTTTCTGTGGGATTCCATAATATTATGGAAGTGTTGTTCCTGAACAGTTTTTTGGTTTGCTTCTGCCACTTATCATAAGACTCCAGCCCAAATATGAAAATTTATTAACTAGGGGATCCTGCATATAAGGAAAAGATCATTTTAGATCCTAGACTTGTATGGGATTAGACCTAGGGTTTCAACATCTCAGGACAAAAAAATTTTTTTTTCCCTTGGGTAAATTTTTATTTTCCTCATGTCAAGTCCAGGCATCCTGGTCATCACCCTGAGTCCACAAGTGGATTATTTTTAATGGCTCAGTTTGATACAGGGAATCTCAGTCCCAACCCCTGCCTCACACAGACCCAGAACTCGATCTTGCCTCCGCTCCAGTTATACTTAGCATACTGATGCATATAGTTACCCATTTTCCCCCAACCCCCACTAAAATGATAAGGAAATGGTAAAAAAAAAAAAAAAAAAAGGCAAAGACATGAACGAGTGGGACAGTGGGAGAATGGGAGAGGAGGTGCCAGCAACAAAAATTGCAACACTAGAAAATGGGTGGATGAATAATGACTGACTGGTTAACCGACTAGAGAAAGGCTGCAATTTATGGTGGGAGTGGTGAGAAACACTGAAGCAAGCCACACGGCCCCGCGGACCCTCAGAAAACTACGGAGTGAGGCATCAGGTTCCTCTGAATGTCTGTCCTTAGACACCAGCCTCCTCCCTCACCTGTGCTGCCCATTGAAGGCTCTTCCCTCACCTCCACAAGGGAAGATTAGTGATGAACTTTCTGGAAAGGTTGACTAGAGAGACTCTGGGCTCATGGACAGCAGGCATAGCTGGAAGAAGGGGCAGGGAATAGCAGGCCAAAGAAGGGGGATTAAGTAAATGTCTGTGTATGGAGGAAGACCCATGCTTCTCCTCACTGCTCTGCTCTGAGGACACTGGCATCCAGTCTTATGGAGTTGCTCAGGTATTTGAAAGTCCTTTCCTGGGGCCTGCAGCCATGCCAAGAGAAAGGACTTGCTGATCCTGAAGTTTGGGGGCTCAGACGGCCAGATCTCACACGGCAAAGCCCTGAAACTAAGAGGTCTGTTCGTACACCCAGCACGTCCAGTCACCTGTTAGTGCCCTGCGCTTACGTATGAATGGACAGAGATCACGGGGCACTTGAGGAAAGCCCACCATGGAAGACAGAGACAACACACATGCTCGCACACACATACATGCGCAAGCAAGGGAGCAAACAGAATGAATCTAGAAAAACCAGATTCATCCTGAGAGTAGAAGCAATGAAAACAAACTGCCTTTGATCCCCATAGAGAAATAGCACTGGCCGACCCGAAAGCATCGGCAAGCACAGCTGTTGGCTAGTATGGGAGACAGGGATTCTCCCGCCCTGCTGCTGAGGATGCAGACTGCAGAAGCCCCTGTGGAGAGCGGTCTGGGGATATGTGGTGGGACCCTATGACCCAGCCCGGTTCACTTATTGACATGCATGTACAGGGAGATTTTTCACAGGGAGACTGTAGTCACATATCTTTTGAGGCACTGTTTGTAAATACTGAAAAGGAGGAAACAACTCACTAATAAGAGTAGGGGAATGGATACATAATCCAAGACATAGTCATAGAGTAGAATATTATATATACTTGTCAATTGAGTGAAATCTACCTACATAATATGTATGTCTAAAAAATAAAATTTCAGATAAAAAAATCAAGTTGCAAAAGGCTTAGAAGTGTGAGAATAATAGTCATGAGGGCTAACATATAAAACAACATATGAAATAACTCTTTGATACAGGGGCTGTTATCCCCACTTTACAGCTGAGAAGACTGAGGCACAGAGAGGCTATGGAAGGTATCCAAGATCACACAGCTAGTAAGTAAGTCGTGAAGGGGCGTCAACCTGCCTGGCGGTGTTCACAGACTTAAGATGGAAAAGCAGGATGACATAGGAATATGGGACTTTATTTGTAACTTTTTTTTTTTCCCAAGAAAGGGCTGAAATAACTGTGGCCAGTTTGAATGTTCGCTACGTCACTTAAAAATCTTTCATACGTTGGGGCGCCTGGGTGGCTCATTTGGTTGGACATCCAACTCTTAATTTTGCCATGATCTCACGGTTTGTGGGATCGAGCCCCGCGTCAGGTTGGTGGTGCAAAGCCCGCGTGGGATTCTCTTTCCTTTCTCTTTCTCTTTCAGAATAAATAAACACACATTTAAAGAATCAATCTTAAAAAAACGAAGTCTTTCATATGTTCAGATATCTCATAACTTAACACACGGTAGTGGTTAAGGACACCATAGCCTTGGAAACAGCCTGTGAGGAGTCCCCAGGGCCCTGGGGCTGCCCCACAGGGCTATGACTTCTGTGCATCGGTCTGTGTGTTTTCACTGAGCTCCAGCAGAGTACCTTTTCCTGTGCTGATTTGCACGTGCTTTCTCCCTGCTACTGGTAGCGTGGTCTCCTGCGGGTAGGTGACGTGAGTGGCCGGGGATGGCACTGTAACCTCTGACAAACGGACAGCGCTTGGAGTCAGAGCGATGCCAGAGAGAACGCTGTTCGCCGGCTGCTTGTTAGGTCACTGGAGCAGTCTTCCCGCTTAGGAGTTTGGAATTTTGCCTAACCGTGTTGATAATTATAAAGGTTTTTTTAAGTAGGGCCTTTTGCTGGGAATTTTGGTGTTATTGCCTTCATCGTTGCCGTCATTTGTGACTCAGAATTGGAGTACTTGTGTGTGTGTGTTTTAATGTGGCTGTCAAATTGCAGGAAATGAGAGAGTGAACCATCTGTTCCGTGGCATATTGGACGAAAGGCCAGTCGATAAATTAAATATTGTAGTTAGTCGTTGTCTGTATTCCAAGTATGTAATACTTTTTAAGAGTTAACGAAGTTGAATGTGGGAGGTTAGAGCTGGAAGGACACTTAGGTATAATGCAATACACCTTCCCTATTTTAAACATGAAGAAATGGAGCCTCAAAAAGTGGAAATGACTCGCGTAGGACATATAGCCACTTCCTGACAGCACGGTGGGGGGTGGAGGAGGGCGGGCAAAAGGGCCCTCCGCTCCCTGCATGTGTCACTGCATCACGGAGTACAAAAAAATAGGCAAACAAGCGTAAATCTATGGGACATGACGTGTCGTTGGTTGATTTATAGGATTCCTCAAAACTGCTTCCTGGGTATAAAACACACAAACTTTGGAATGTAATTATTTCTGATCCATAGAACACTAGCTCTAAAGCTTTTTCATGCTTTGTGTTAACTAAAAGGTAACCTCTAAAGGTGAAATTGCTTGTGATAATATTATAGAAGTGTTGACATGCCTGCCTTAGTTGTGTAAATATAGATAGCAAGATGATTCTAGCTTATCTTTATTTTCAGTCAAGGGAAAACCCCTAACTTGATGTTGGAGAAGCAGGTGAGAAGGACAGGTTCTCATTTTTTTTTTATTTCTTTTTTATTATTTATTTTTTGAGAGACAGGGGCAAGCAGAGGAGGGGAGGGGCAGAGAGAGGGAGACACAGTGAATCCGAAGCAGGCTCCAGAGCTCTGTGCTGTCAGCACAGAGCCCGACGCGGGGCTCAAACCCACAAACCTTGAGATCATGACCTGAGCTGAAGTCGGATGCCTAACCACTGAGCCACCCAGGTGCCCACAGGGCTTCAACTCACACCCCTGAGATCACAACCTGAGCTAAGATCAAGAGTGAGATGCTCATCTGAATGAGCCACTCAGTTGCCCCAGGCCTTACTCCCAGTGGGTGGGGGTTGCTGGCAAGAAGAGTTGGAACATTTCTTTTGAAGATGTTTAGGATAGTTCTGTTTTGTGTTTTCACAAAACCCAAGTGGTTGGGTGCTGCAGAGTTCTAGCTGGGCGGGTGCTGGGGGCGTTACAAGAACTTTCCCGTGTAATGTGTGCATTCATGTACTCCTTAGTGCCCCAGGGCGAGTATCTTAAGTCCGTCTTCTCTGCGGGACATTCTACTGTGGTAACAATGATTTTCATTAATATTAGGGTTTAAACTTCACAAATGGAATACTCTTGAAATGCGGCATCCCTGATGACGGGAGAAAGTAGTAAGAGCCTTGCCTGAAGTGGTTTGGTAGAATCCATTTTATTAAGTATGGGCATTTATCTTGACTTAATTTCTTGCAGAAAATACTACAATGAAGGAATCATTAACCAACCACCTGCAAATATGATCAGATGTAAACTATGAAATTGCCTTTATTTTGCTTTCATAACATTTATCTTGCAGTGTGCGAACTTAAATCTCCCTCGATGAGTGACTTTCTGTGGGGACTGGAGAACTCTGGCTGGTTAAGGCACATTAAGGCCATCATGGATGCAGGAATCTTCATTGCAAAGGTGGGTGAGAAGGGCAGAGCAGCCAGCGGACTGGTACTCTGACTTCAGAACAGGGATCCTGCCTGCTTCCTCCCCATCTGCTGCGGCCGCCACGATAAGCTGTGCCTCGCCGAGTGGGGAGCTGGCTTTGCAGGCCACAGTTTGCCCTCTTAGGATGTGCAAAAGAGAGGACAGTCTCGGTCTTTCCCTTTTGGGAAAAGGACTGAGGCCGGTAACAGCTGAAGAATTCGAGTACGGGAAAAGTCTTAAGGAACCCAGAGGGGAGGGAGGGTGGCTTCTGGGCGTGTGATGGGAAGGAAAAGTTTTGGTCACCAGCACCAAGCCAGCCCTTACGCTCCCCTAACTGGATGGGGCATTAGCACTAAATTAATGAGCCGTTTTCGGTTATGTGGGGTTTTT